TAAAAACCGTACTAAAACTGAAACTAAAAGAGCTAAGAGACAGACGGGACGGGAAGGCGATCTTCTTACCCCATCAGCCACCTCCAATGATAAACATCCCCCTCAGGGCCCTAGGCTAACCAGCAAAGTCAGGAAGGCCAAAAGGAAAGGGGGCAGTTCTCAATTCCGGTAGCAGAATGTTCTACAAGGATGGGGCAGATGATCCCTTCTACCCATTCACTACAGCACACAGATGTTAAACAAACTAAAAAACATTCTATATAGCCTGAAGAGATAGTAAACAGCCACACTGATTATGCACCAGTTCTGTAGATAGAAGCATGTGGAAGGTTTTACAGGTCACAAACTTTGCTTTGCTTCAGGCACAGAACAAAGTTATTGGCTGTATCTATAGAAAACCTCTTGGAAGATAAGATTCACACTGCCCAATAAAGAGTATGGATTTCATTTTAACCCATCCAAAATAATAGGTGATGAGATCCCAATGAATTCAGTAGTATCAGTTTGGTTTCTACAGTCATTTTGGATATTTCCCTGTGCTATCAAATTAGATGAGACAGATCTGAAATTTTAGAGCACATATTGTAAGTCCTGCTTGAATTCATTAACAGTTTGAGCAATCAGAGGGCTAAGGACATCTTGGAAGCAATATTGCAATTGTGTGATTGCCTTGGTTAGTTATCTCAGGAGGATCATCTTTGCCCTGACCTTTTAACACAACCGGATACCTACTTTTAATCATTCATTTAAGTTGTACTGCTCTACTGCCAAAACTAAAACTTTTTTTTGGCATAGTCTGTTTGGTTCAACTTCATGCCACTACACTATTGACTTCAGAACAATTTGTATTGTAACAGTTGAAAAAATATGATTTTAACATTCTTATGGTTGATATCAGAAGCCTCCTGGGGGAGAAGATGCAATTGTTATGTGAAGCAGTGAACTAAGGACATAGTAACAGCAATATTATTTTTATTTAAATAAGGTAAATTTAAACTTTTGGAACTGACACACTTGAGTTTTACCTGGGGGAATCTCATGCAGAAGATACAGTTGGTAACAATTTGCCACTCATACTTCATTAAATCCTTGAAGTTTATGAAACTTGATGCCCAATATAAAATGTAATAAAAGTTTTACACAGTAATGTCTTGCAAAACCTAATCTATATCACTTACAAAACTTCTAAAACAGAATTCATATATTTAAAAAGACATAAGATGTCCATATTCTGTATATCAAAGCAATGCTCTTTCAGGGGTAATGTCTGGTTATGAAAGTTGGATACAGAGAAAGAGAAAAAAGTAGACAGATGCCTCTCCAACCTACAAATAATAAATCAGAAGAATGATTTCGAAAGCTGTTCTATTGGATTTACAAAGAAGACATGCTAAACTACTGAAGCTATTTCTGAAAACAGATAAAGAGAAAATGATAAGAAATCAACTTGTGGACATTATTTGATGGAATTTAAAAGTTCACGTTTTTAAAATATAAACAGAAAGACTATAAAATGAAATTTAACAGGATAAAATACATATGTTGTGGTTTCTAGTAGCTATTAACGGGATTTCTTTTTGAACAGGATTGAACAACAAGGCTTTAAAGATCTGTTTATGAGAGATTTTTTTCCTTTATTTCTTTGAAAAAAATATAAATTGGATTATAAAATGGATTTAGTTGATTAAGGTTAAAACACACTGTATATGTTACTATTTCTGGTAGCTCTTAATAGACTTTTGCTAATTAGTAATGAATGATGAGTTTCCACAATTTTATTATTGATAAGGAATGATATAGGAGAAGAAGTCATCTTTTTAAAATTGAAATATTAGAGAAGGTATTAAGTTATTGAAATGGTTTATGCTTATCTGGAGAGAAAGAAATCTTTTATATTCCTTTTTTCTTTTTCTTTTCTTTCTTTTCTACTTCTTTGCACTATTTTCTTTTTTAACTCGTATATTTTTCTTATTTGTATTAATCTTTTATCTGTCTACTTATAAAGTTTAATAAAGTATATTAAATTTATAACTGTCTCTGAGTTATGTATCTGGAGAAGGATACAAAGAATACTGTGGCCTGCAAAAAGAACCATTTAACTAATCCCAGACCAAATAAAGATGAATTACTCTCTAAGGTGATCACCAAGCAGAAACTCATATACTTTGAGTATATGATGCAAGCAGATAATGGACTAGAAAAGACCACTATGTCTGGCAAGGTTGAGGAAGGAGAAGATAACAGATAATAATATTGGATGGACAATATTAAAGAGATTATAAGACTGCCTTTGGAGTGACAATGGAATATCACTACAGCAAATTTAGGCTGTAAGAATTCGACATGCAGTATCAGGAATCAAACCCAGTGGTTTGATAACTTGGCAAAATGCAAAATATACATGAAAACAATACTTTTTCTGGTGTTTATTTCTCTAACAATGAAAAAATTATTGTCCCCTTGTCTAAAACTCTGCAAGATGACAGATATTCAGCACCAAATATGATATATATCGTATTATTAAATTAGTAGATATGTTCTTAAAATCAGCTTTGTGGCTTTCTCCTGTACTGAAAGGCTGTATTTTTCATTTTTTATGTTACATACAAAAGCTCACAATTCTTTTAAATATTTTTTCTGAAATTACTATTACTGCTAGACTCATACTCAATCCACTAATATATCATCAGCACTTATTCATTGCTGATATACCTACAAAGGGATGAGTCAACTAAATTTTGATTAGAGAGAGATGAAACATGGTCTGAAGGAACAAATCTGTATTAGGCAACCTTGGATACCCACTTCGAAATGAGTAACAGAAGCCTTGTATCATCTGTCTATCCTGAGTTTAACAGCTGGTGTTGGAGAAACATTTTAGTCATATGTGTTAACAATTCAATAGGTTTGTTTTTTTTAAAATAAAAATAAAAATAAAATATTTTTGAGCTAAGCAGCCTAGTTATAAGCAACAGGCTTATTAGAAACAAATATTATATAAAGGAAGGCAAGTTTTCTCAAATAATTGTTTGTGATTGTCATAAAGCTTTTAGAAGTACACAGTAATTGTAAGGGAGGCAGGATATGCTAGTTCTGAAATAGAAAATGTTTGACAGGGAGAACCTCTTCTTTCCATGAAGGCTTTCCCCATAAATGAAGACTCTGGAAAATCAGGATCTTCCATGGCTGAAGAGGAATGTGGGAAGGGCGGAGCTAGCCTGTTGACTGTACAAGGTTAAACAGTCCAAAGCTTATTCATGTGTAAATAAAAGCCACCAAATTCAAGTACATGAAGGTTGCCTAGGTCTGTTGTGTTTGAGATCTATCCACTTGTTGTTTGCAAAGAGAAGAAAAACAATTCAATATACCTCAAGGATTTATTCTCTACTTACCCCTGTCCATACCAAGTAAATAGGACTAAACACATACATTTCTAGCATAACAGCAGCATATGTATAGTTGGGAGTAACTGAACTCAATGCAGTTTCTTTTACTCTGTGAGAAGGAATAGTTGGGAGTTTGTATGTAAGAGAATGACTTGTCTGAATATGTGTGTGTAAATGCAGATAGAGATGCAAGTATTTCCAGCCAATTATTTACAGCTTTTTATCCTATCTAATCCTTCTTTTGTGGGGAGTACAAGATTGTATTACATTTGGAGTTTTCCTCTTTTTGTATAACTGCAGTTTGATGTGCTTTATCAGGGGTGTCAAATTGCAGGCCTGCGGGCCGGTTTCATCATACCAAAGCCGTGCCTACCCCATTGCCGGCAACGCAAAAAGAGTCACAATGCGTCAGGACACATCATGTGACGTGGCGAGTTTGACACCCATGCTTTAACATCCAGATATGCAGTTTTAAAAATATAATTAAATTATAATGTATATTTCAGATGCCTGCCTTTTTTGACAGAAAAAGCCAAAATCATAATCAAACTTCGTTGTTTATGTGGTTTCAATCATTACTTAATCAAAAGTATTATTCCTAAATTAGGGTATTAAATCTAACTTGCTGATGGGGACTAGGGAAAGAAAGTGTAAAAGCGTACTACTCCCAAACTGCTTGAAAAATCCAGTTCCATTGTACTAGCCTTCCATGAGCCAGGAAGCAATTATAGTTTTCAAACAACTCACATTCCCCTCAAGGGTATCTGTTGTTTGCTTCATAGCAGTGGAAGCTCATGAGAGTATTAAGTTTATTACTTAATAATTATCAACCAGAAGAAATTACTAACAGGCATTTTAAATTATGCTTTTAATGAGGATGTGAATATACATTTGCCAATTTTTGTAGCTTGTCTTTCACCACATTCCAAGCTTTGTATATGTGAGTGTTCCATGAAGGCTTTGAGCAAATCACTTTGAGGTTTTGCCTCTAAATGGGCATTATCACTACCTACCTCAACTGGCTGCTTGTAAGATGAACACACTGAAACTGTCAAGCATTTAGCACATAATCTGTACTATAATAGTGACTCGTAATGAGAGATGGATATGTGCCAACACACTGGTCAAATCTCCAACCTAGTTTCACCTTTGATCTCTTTTTGTACTGACTCACTCTGTGACAACTCAATCTCTAGCTTCCTTCCTATAATAGGGTGCTCATTTGCTTAGGGAAGGTTATAAACAAAGTGAATATTAATGGGGTCACATCGGAATCCCATTAACACACGCGCACCCTCTCACACACACGTACACTTGTATACAGCACAAAATAAAGTAATAGTGGTGGGGAGAGTTATGGAATCAGCGTGGGAAAATTCAGGTAATGTGAAATATAAAGGACACAGCGGGGAGGGGGCGAGGAGGCAACCAAATCGAAGAAAACAAGAGACACAAATAAAGGCAGAGGCCAAGGGAAGCGGATTAAAATAAAGCAGAAAGGCAGATGAGATCGAGGCTAGGGTCAAGGGGATCAAGAGAAAGGGAGCAAATCCAGAAGCCCCCCTCCCCAGCCGGATCCCAATCGCTTCCTTCCTTCCGAGCCGAGCCACTCACCCGCTGTGTAGAGCCTGAGATTCGCACCCTTCATCCACAACTACCGACACAGCAGCCTGGAGGCCTCCCCTCTTCTCTGCTCTGTCTCTCCTCCGCTCCGCCCCTCCACGACTCCTTCCTTCCTTCCGGGCCGTGTGAGCGAACCGGCCACCGGCTCACGCCTGCGATCTGGCACACGCGGCGGACTGGGATCTTTCCCCTCCTCCCTCATGGTGGATTCCCGTAGATCAGCCTCCGGAACTTGTCCTTCACGGCTGAAATGGAAAGGACTGGATGCACAAGTTAGACTCGCAACCCAGTCAGCAGAATTTCAGGAAGCCCATCGGGAAATTCAGTCTATTTAAGGCGGGCTGACTGCTTTAGACATTCGAGGGTATTAGATAAGTAGATCTTAGGAACGAAATAGTGAGAGTTCTGCAGGTAACCTAGTAAAGGAGAGAAGATACTTCCAGACAATGCTGCCAATGATCTCTCTCTCTCTCTCTCTCTATCTTATTCTGCCTTCACTGTTCTGTAAGAAACAAAAATGAAATGGGGAAGAGGTATATGACAAATGCTTAATAAATGCTTCAAATGGAAGTTCCTAAATATCTATATCACTTGCAACAAAAATAACTGTGTATTGTGGCCCCTTAAAAATGTATTACCAGGTGTTGCACTCCCACCTCCTGTTTCTTTCCCCATAACAAACAACCTTTGGAGTAGATTGGGCTATAAGACTTATAGAAGTCTTCTATAGAAGAAGACTTGAAGTCTTCTAATCCAGCCTTCTGCCCAGGGTAGGAATCTTCTGACCATTCCAGATAAATGTCTCCAAGCTTTATTCGAAAACCTGCAATCATGGAGCCCCTACAACTCAAGGAGATTGGCTATTCCACCTCTTTATAGCTCTCATAGTCAGGAAATTCTTCCTTATTTCAAGTTTGGATCCCCCATTGTAAGCCTCCACCTATTTATTGTTGCTTGCCATACTCATAATTCCTTTTCTATTATTATTTTTTCCCATGGTAAATTTGAAGTATATTTTCCCTTTTCAACTGTCACTTTAGTTAGTATGCTGAAATATTGACCTGTGATTAATGTATTGCGCTTCAAGTTTGCTCTTTTTTAGAATGTGTGGTTTCCACGCATTTGTATTGGTGGGTGTGTGAGAGAGAGAGAGAGAGAGAAAGAGAGAGAGAGAGAGAGAGTAGAATTAATTAAGAGACCATGGATTAATACAATATATATTCCTATGCTTTGATTCTAATTAACTTTTGAACATCAGACTCATCAAGATCTAGAGTTCTTGGATGTATTTAGTATTGTGATGCCATAGTTGTTTATGTTATATAACTAAAGAATCATCCTATAACTGAAGACACCTTAGCAGAACTGAATTTTCGTTGAAAATTAAAGTCTTTCTCATTGGAATCAAAAGAATAGATCAACAAAAAACACAAATCACTGTGGCCACATTCATGTCACCACAACAAAGCATAGGTTATGATGTAACACAGCATTTCTTTTTGCCTTTGAGTCAGTATTTACTATGTAGTTCCTGTAGGTTTTTTTTTTTTTAAAAAACCAGGGTGTTTTTTTTTCAGGAAGTGGTTTGACATTTCCTCTTTCCTAGGGCAGAGTGACTGGCCTGAAGACTCCCAGCTGGCGTTGTGCCTAAGATGAGACTAGATCTCACTGTCTCCTCATTTCTAGCCTGATGCCTTGACCACTTTACCAAACTGGCTCATTATTCCACAGCATACATTAACACAATAAAGACCATAAATAGGCTGATAGGCAGTTATCTCTCATCTTGTATCACACATCTTCCAAAGGGATAGAATCCATTCAACACTCTATGTGGATCAATAGGAGACCCACCAATAGTATTAAGTAGCAACAGTGACTGGAATGCTCTCTGGGATGCTGTCAGGTTGTGAAATTTGCCAGCTGCAGTTGGGTATCTCTATGCCTACTGCTACAAGCTTTGTGGTTTCAGGGAGTGATAGATAATATGAAATTCTTTCTTCCACCACAATTAGTCCAGATTTCAGGAATGAAGATGTGAAGGCAGGTGAAAGGGCTTATTTGATGAGCCCAAGAACAACAATTCTTCCTCTGTTAATTCAGTTTATCTGACCTGTAAAAGGAGGTTGTAAAATGGGTGTTGTTGCCAGTATGCAAAGCAGGGAGGCAGAGAACTGAGAAAGAGAAGATGATGAGGCTAAGTATTTGGCTTGGCAGTAAGTCTGGCCTGACAAGCAACGTTGTCAGAATTGTCACATTAGTTACTATAGATTCCTTCAAAAGATTGGTTGACTGTGGTAGAATCAATAAAGAACATCTCTGTACTACTTGAAGTATAGACTTGATTTTCTATGAATTCTTCAATTTCCATGATAATCTGCTTGCTAAGCAACTCTGGGTGGCTTTTAAATGACTTAAAAAATAACAGTGTAAAAGTTAATAAGATACACTGCTGGGGGGAAATAATTCCAATAGTACAGAGCTAAAACAGGCTCATGTAACATTATGGTTGGAATTTTATGGCTGTCTTAAAGCTGGAAGGTTGGGATCATCTGAATTTGAGGGGGACATTGCTCCACAGGGGAGGTGGAGGAATGTACCCCTCAAATTCAGATGATCCCAACCTGCCAGCCTTTAAGACAGACATAATAACCTGGCCATAACAGGGCAAGTGTGGTGAAAGAGAGGCGTTACCTCCTAGTTCCATGAAATGGTATTGTAGTTGAGGTATCGTTTTTATCAAGAATGGCTTCTTCTACCAAAACCCAAAGAGCAAAGGGGCTATGACACTTTTTTTCCTGCTGAAATTAAAACTTTCTTCTCATTGCTCTGTCAAAAACAACAGCCATTGGTGTTTTGAATGAGGACACGGAGAACATGTGACACTATCAATGAAACTTTGATATGAAATAATGAAACAATGCCAATCATACTGGCACATGATTGGTGGGAAACTAATGGTGTTTCTATGGATGGTGTAATCTTGCAGTTACCATATTTTTTAGTTGTCTATTCCCCACCCCGTTCCCAGGATAAGTAAATTTAGATACAATGGGCATTGTGCCATAGTAGTAGTAACATATCTCACTCCTCTTCCCAAAATACAAATCTCATAGATAATGTTGTTTGTTTGGCCCAGAATATTCCATCTGTGTATTCATTTATCAACACATTTCTATCCCATTGCAATCTAGAGACTTGTTTGTCATTTCAAAAGACATTTATCTGTTTTGTTTAGAATACTTATTTGACATACTATTCCTTTTAAATCTTAACCAATTGACTTCAGTATGTTTAAGATAATCTAACTCTGGATTGTGGCCAAAATGTGAAGATAATTATAAGGGTTTTTTTTTTCTGCTAAAGCATCCTATTATCTGGGTGCAATTTAATGCAACAATAGAACTCTGGAATACAGCATTTAAGCAGAATCAGATCAGCAAATCATCTAAAACACTGGTGTCAATCTCGCCATGTCATGTGACATGTCACGACATATCACGACTCTTTGCATTGCTGGCAATGGGGTGGACGCGGCTTTGGTATGAAACCAGCCTGCAGGCAGGCAGTTTGACACCCCTGGTCTAAAAGATGAATTTTTGCAATGTACACAGAGCTGAGAAGACGGCTTTGATTTTTCCCTTTTATAACCATCCCCATTAATTTTTTCCTCAGTTGAATTGTTATTTTTTTTAAAATCTTGCTGTTTGGATTAAAAATATCAAATGTTTAAAATACTCTTTATCTTTTTAAATACATGTTTTAGAATTTTTTACCTAGCTAAACCTGCCTTAAATGTAGTGGGTTCCGTGGGAGCAAGAGAAGGGAAGAAAGTTGAAAGCAGTGTTCTATTGCAAAACAAGCCCTCCCTTTCTGTATGTACATAAGAAGTGGAACTTGTATTGCAACAAAGTACAAGATTCTGCAGATGTCACTGCTGATGTCAAAAAAAAAAACTAAGCCACATCAGCTCTGCTTAGGTGGCAGAAATCTACGAAATATCATAGTTGCAGCATACGCTACACTGGAAAGCTCAAAAATCATGCCAGATGATGCAGCGTGGCAAATTCTTTTGTACTGTTGCACACACACACACACACACACATATATATATATACGGACCTGCCTATGAAACCCTAAGAATCCAGTGCGATTTTATTTTAGAAAAGTGTCCTAAATGAAAGCTTTTCCTTTTATAAATTTGCAGCTGATAGAACTGTCCATGTTTGCTTACATATCACATACTGTACGTATCATAACACTTGACCTAACTTGACGCCATACTAAATCTCAAACTCTAGGTTAGCCGATTTCCCAGGATTGAAGAAAACTCACTCTCCGCATCCTAGGAGACTATTTATTTACCCATTAATGGTTCCGAGGAGCTATGGGTCAGTTTTTTCTTTAAAGTTGGATTCTGAGCAGGGTGAGGCTGGATGTCACTGAATCCTGTCTGTCAAGTCAACGCTTTTAAAGCAAAATCTGACCCTGATGACGTCCCCCAGAGCGCTATCCCTTTAAATCTCTATCGCGCCTCCAAGGCCACCGTTTTACAGCCCTAAGCCCCACCTATAGATGCGGGCTCCTCCGTTCCGGAAGTGCCACGTGTACTGAGTGCGCCTGCGCGGTCTCGTTTACTTTCTTCCGGTGTGAAGAGCAGGGCTTTTCCCCCCCTCCACTTCCCGGGCTTGGCGCTGGAACAAGACTCAGAGACGCCCGCGAAGCGATCCTCTTGCTGCCGCTATGGCCCAGCCGGGACGGCCTGCATATAATAGCCTTACTAGAGCCGGGCAGCCGCCGCCGCAGCCGTATAGCAATGGTGAGTGAGGCCGGCCGCAGCCGTGTCATGTTAGGGGCCGCTGGGTAAAGGACTTGGGTGTCTCTGGCTCCTCTCGGCAGGGCGGTCATGCCACGCCACCGAGGGACAAGGGCGGCCAGGAGCGCGAAGGATCCGTGTGCGGGGCGGCGTATGTCGACCCTCGGTTGTCGCCCCTCGCGGAGCCGAATGGCACTTCGAGAAGACGAGACGGGCTTTTTGCTAGGCGGGTTCCCTCGTTTCCATCCCGAGGCCTTGGCTTCCTTTCGCGATTGCACCCGTGATGGGAAGGCGCTGAGTAATAGGGAGGTCCTGGGAGAAGAACTAAGTCGTAGCAGTAGCATCAGCACTTGTAGCAACTCTGAAGGCTCTTCTTACCGTTCTTGGAGCCGAGATAGTGATTGACGCTCTCTGTAAGGTTCAGGGACCACTCCCTGGTGATACTGGTAACAATGAAATGCGTGCCCCTTGAGAGTATTCCCAGAATTTAACACGAAGACACGGGGAAGGCAGCTCCCGGAGGGAGAAATGTGTTAATATGGGTAGCAGAATATATGGCAGTAACCTGATGAGCAAAACAGATTATTGTGGCTCAAGTTTTGTGGCTTTATAACCTATTGATTGTGTGTGTAGAAGGTGTATGTCTTTAGAAAACGGAGTGGTTTACGATGCCCCGAAAGTCCCCAGTGTTTGTGTTCTGTACAATTAATTGACCAATTACCCTTTGGAGACTGCTTCCCCGCTGAGCATTCTTCAGCAAAAATATCCTACAGTTATAAAAAGACAGCATTGTTATGAAGAGAATTGCATACAGCATGGATGCTTGCTTGCTTTCTGTGATCAGTGGGTGTAAAGAATGCGGTGCATAATAATCAAATCCTCCTGATTTAAGAAGTTCATTATGCTGGCAGAATCAAAAAAAAAAAAAATCTATCAGCTGACTAGTTGCTCAATGTCTCCTCCTTTGTGGAACTCAAACTCAAATGAGGCAGGCGGAGGAAATGTGTAAACTCTGCCTCATTTGTGTGCTTATCTGTGTGTTTTTCTGGTAAAAATAGAGCAGCTGTGTTTCAGTGTATAGTTTCATAGTTGGATATTGATAGTAATTAGTATTTTTTTTTAAGATTGTAAGTCTAAGAAAAGAATCAAGTTATATTAGTACTCAGGGCTTTTTTTCTCACATAATGCCCAGAACGGAGTTCCGGCACCTTTTTTGGATGGAACCTTGTAGGGTAGGCAAGGCATGTTGTATGATGTGTGTGAGTTCCGGCACCTTTTTTTTTTTTTTTTAAGAAAAAAAAAAGCACTGTTAGTACTTACAGGAGTTTTAAATTGTTTTTTAAAAAATCGAAACTAGGTGATAATTTATGATTCCATAAGTTACGGGTTCTATAATATAGAGCTTTGGTCTTTCCCCTTTACCCCAATTTGGAGTTAATGATCATAGCTTACATTATGTGAGAGTTTCCTATTACATGTGAAGTGTAGAATTCTAAATCAACATGGGTCTCCTGAATGATAAAGTGATAGTGACACAAAGCTGAGAATGACATGATTGTTTATTGTAACAGGATCTTGTGCTGGAGTTGGTGGGCAACAAATGGAGATGCATAAAGAATAAAAGCCAATGGTATTGTTTAGTGTGTTGCATTTGACCTGTAGACTCTTGATCTCTTACAAATCAATCAAGACGGACATATAGGCATAGTGTGTGATTTTTAATCAATATGTTTGGTCTTGATGCAAATCACGGTATAAGTAGTCCACGATTTAGGTGTACTACCTGTTATCAAAACCATTAGCTATAAATTTGGCTAGAAGAAGCAATGAATCCCATTTTAATTATACATTATGTAAAATATACTTCCTTTATCAGTCCTGAATTCTCAACATATTTAATTCCAATACAGTAGATGACTGAGTTCTGATGTTGAAAGAAAAAACTTGCTTCCATCTGTATATTCCATACTATGCATAATATTATACTCTTCTATCATGTTATCTCTCTATTTCAAATGAAAGAGCCCTAGATGCTACAGGTAGTCCTTGACTCACAACCACAACTGAGCCCAAAATTTCTCTTGCTAAGCAAGACAGTTAAGTGAGTGTTGCCCCACTTTACAACCTTTCTTTCTTGTTAAGTGAATCACTACAGTTAAGATAGTAACACGGTTGTTAAATAAATTTGGCTTCTCCATTAACTTTGCTTGTCAAAAGGTCACAAAAGGTGATCACATGACCTCAGGACACAGCAACCATCATAAATAGGTGTCCAGATTTGGGGCCACAAATTCATACTGGTTGTAAGTATAAAAAATTATCATGTCACTTTTTTCAGTTCTGTTGTAACTTTGAAGTCATTAAAAATGGTTGTAAGTCAAGGATTACCTGTATAATGTATTATCTTTAGCTGAAATAATTTTAAACTGGTATAGGTCTTGTATTTTAGTTTGTCTATGGATTTATGATGATTTAAAACTGCCAGCCTGCAGGCAGGATGCGTCACACGGAAGCCGCGCCCAACCCAGCTTCGGCAAGGGGGGGGAGTCGCGACACGTCACATGACGCGGCAAATTTAAAACATTGAAGGGTCTAGAAATTTGTCCTCTAGTATTTCAGGCATCAATTAAAATAGCCATGTTAGAAGTAATTCTTTAATTTATATTTTTAATTAATTATATATTTTCCAGTTTATTATGTATTCCAAGTCATTTCATTCTCTTGCACAGAATTCTGAATGTAGTTTTTGGTTACCCAAAATCTTGTTCAACTTCTGCAGCAATAAAGTCTGTAATTGTGAGTAAACTGCAGTTTTAAATAGAACAATATACATACAGAAGATACTAGGTGACCAGTTGATATGAGAATGATCTGTTATTGAAAATGCATAATTCTGAATTAAGGAATTATAAATTCCACTTGTTTCTACAATCAGGGCAAGCCTAAACTGGAAACATGTTTGTCTTATGCTAGACAAAATAGTAAACCATTAGTAAACTAATCAAGGAGAGAAGCAACCTAGAACTAAGGAGAAACTTCCTGACAGTTAGAACAATTAACCAGTGGAACAACCTGCCTCCAGAAGCGGTGAATGCTCCAACACTGGAAGTCTTTAAGAAGAGACTGGACAGCCATTTGTCTGAAATGGTATAGGGTTTCCTGCCTGAGCAGGAGGTGGAACTAGATGACCTCCAAGGTCCCTTCCAACTTTATTATTATTATTACTACTATTATTATTATCATCATCATCATTATAATTATAATTATTATCATTCTCCACCAATGTTTCAAGCCTGTTATTCTGTTACACTTCTGCTTTTTAATCCAGTAGAGGAGAGTAGCAATATTGTCAGTTTCAAGACTGGATTTCATGAATTTTATTTAAAGGAATCACTTATCTGTAATTCCATAAAACTGAAAGTAATATCTGATATCCTATGTAAAAAGGAAGAGGAAATTGAATTAGGAATTGTATACAGCAGAAATTCCAATCTGTGGTTTTCTGAGCATTGGAGAAAATTTTAAGTCATAATGTTATTTGCATTGATTTTGAATATTGGTTTGGAAAACCAAGTGATACAAAGGAACATAATTGGAATTCCAATTTGTTTCTGAAGTAATAGGAAAATTTATGTTTACACTGCTTTGCAATTATTAGCCATTTTCTATATAGAGAAATGGGCTTTGATCCTGAAAATTCTATGGGAATTATTATATAGAATGATGGGAACATTTAAGCTTTTACACTTGCACTAAAGGAGATATCTTCTAGACTTATTATATAATTTGATGCTGTATTTAGTTATACAGGTATAGCACATTTTAGAATCTGATGTTTGAATAGGCACAATGTGACCAGACTTGTCAGAAGGTAACAAAAGAGGATCACATGACCCCAGGACACTGCAAGCATCATAACTATGAGTCAGTTGCCAAATATCCGAATTTTGATCACATGACTATGGGGATGCTGCAACGGTCGTAAGTGTGAAAAATGATCATAACTCATTTTTTTTAATGCCATAACTTTGAACGGTCACTAAACAAACTATTGAAAGTCAAGGACTACTTGTATATTCTTTGATATAACTTCAAATAGTCTTAAGAATTCTAAGAAAGGTAGGTACAATTTTAGAAAGTGTGTACTTAATCAGAAAATTCAGATTTTGAATAAAATGATTTGTCTGTCTTATGGTTGAAAAACTATATTAAAACTTTTCCAAATATGGTAGGATTAATTGTCCATTGATATTATTAATTTTTACTAAATATAGCTTTGGATAATAAACTTAGTCCTCAAATACTTGAAACTGCAGTAGTGTTTCTGTTCCCTTTTTGCTACATTTTGTATTCCGTTCTCCGATCTTTGCATAGATTCTTTTTTGTACAAATTATCCTCTTATCTCATATTCTCTATTCATTAACCTTTGTCGTTGCACTTTTATTGAGGAGTCAAGTTAATAAGCCTGCTAACATTTCTTGCTCCCATGTTAGAAAAAAAAATAGTATATTATAAGTTATGTTCTTTTTGTGCTTGTGTTAAATTTTAAGAAAACTCGTACAATCTAATTTTAAACTTAACTTTTTAATTTAACTTTTATCCATCATTTTTATCCATCTTTATTCATCATTTCACTTTGGCTACCATGTTTGCTATGCAGTTACAGATGCAGTTGTTGTTTTTATTGGAGCTAGGTGTGTAGTGAATGGCTCTTGCATGGAGAATATGAGGGCAGACAAGTTGCAGTGGGAAAGCACTGAAAGTCTAGGCGAGGAGACGGGATCCCTCTGTTCTGCCAGAGCTGGACCCAGCTGTTGCCCTGCAGTTGGTTTATAGATACCATCACTGCCTACCTCTGCAAGGTCTTTCCTCTCCCTAGAGCACCTTGGGAGAATGAGAGCACACATCCAACACTGCTAGAGCCTGCTGTTAGCTGCGACCCCTCCTAAAAAGAGGGTGAGAAGCATCTGCACCCACAAGGGGAAGACTGAGACATAACTGCATCCATAACCTTAGATCAGTGGTAGTGAACCTATGGCACGTGTGCCAGAGGCGGCACTCAGAGCCCTCTCTGTGGGCACACATGCCGTTGCCCCAGCCTCGCCTCCCCCGAGACCCCCTCCTCACCAGCAGCCCCCCTGGAGGAGAGTCGCCCCCGAGCGTGGCCCACACAGAGCAGCGCAGCCAAGGACATGGCAACCAGGCAGTGTAGACAAGACTCTGCCCTCACGCCCCATCCCGCACAGTTGATGCTGCGGGGTGCGGGCAAAGGGCGTGGCCATGGTGCTGCTGGACTGCCTGGGCGATCTGCGGCGGGCCCTGGAGGCGGTGAGTGGCCCTGCAGGCAGGCAGGGTGGGGGACGGTGGGGGCGGGGCAGGGGGTGGAGCGGGGGTGGGGCCAGTTTTTGGGCACTCGGTCTCTAAAAAGTTCGCCATCACTGCATTAGATTGATGTAAATTGCAGGCAGGGACAGGACCTGCTTCCGCTGCCACTAGCACTGTTTGATGTGGTTAAGGATTCTTCTGTGTGAGGCTAAAAGTGCAGCTGCCTGTAGACTTGGCCTACTTGAAGCTGCCACACAAGATGCTGGACTACTTCTTGTTGTCCCTGGATGTGAAGTGGGCGCCATCAGTTTGAAAGCTGCAGAAAATTTGAAGAAATAACTTGTTCTTACAGCAGAAGAGAAATAAACTTTAAAGAAGCAAAACATAAGCTGAATTCCATGTGCAAATGTATAAGAACTATGAAGAATGATGTTCCTTCCCCCAGTCTTGTTATCTTTTGCAGCAGCATATTAATTTTATCTGGTTATCATCCAGAGCTTGCTATATAAATCGTTTGACCAATTATATAGCATTGAAGACATGCACATGATTTGATTAGTTGAATAGTTTTTATTAGACTTAATTTGGGGATCCAGAGCAGCTTTTGAAGTACTTGGATTTAAAATCAGATTGAAAAATGTAAAAGTATTAGGACAGAATAAGAGATCAAGCTAAAGATGGTCTTTTAATATGCTTGTGTTCAATTAGTAGTACATTATTAAAAATAAATGCATATGATCGAAACAAATGGACTTGATCCTGGTTGAGTTTGTATAACCTGTGCCAAATAAGGGACAATATGGGAGGGTATGTAGGTATGTGGGAAAGCGACCTCTACATTCCCATCCTGTTAGTCCCACTTTCCATATTAATATTTATTTTTCTGAATCTTCTTTTGGAGGAAAAGATTACTTTTTATTGACAAAATGTTAAACAGCTTCTTTTTTGTTATTCTTTTCATAAAATATAGAATCCCTGTGACTATAATGAAATAACAGCACATGCTGTTGGAAAATATACCTAGCTGGACATGGCAAAGAAAGTGGCTAATGTATCTTTTCTGTCAATCCCTTCTTATGCCTCCAGCCTTCCCTACTATATGCAGATAATTGTTCTTTTCTATTTTGATTATTCTGATTATTCTGTTGACAAAAATGCATGCTTTTAAAATTATATATTTTACTGTAATGCTGAGATTGATGGTGCTCATGAGTAGCTATGCTTCATTTGGGATATTTTTTTGACTTCTCCAGCATTTCCCTATTACTCGTTATAAGCCATTGCTATTGAGAGGGTTTATACTTGTGGGGTTGTGGGGATTCACTTACACATCTTACGTTCTTGACCTTTTATTATAAAATTACAGATAATAATAAAGCTCTGGGATTTCTGAGTAATTTGGCAGTATATAAAGTCAAATAAAGTTAGTGGTTGGCCTTATTCACTTTATTTCAATTACTGAAATAGCCTTGGGTTTCTCAACAAAAATGTATCTCATTTATTAATTGAAAATGTTTTCCTCTAGGTCCTGTGCCAGGCTCATTGATGAATTCATCACACTTATCAGATGGACAGGGACATAATTCTTTGATCCCAAGCATGTATACTCAGCAAATTGCAACAAAGAATCCTCTGCATGCCACCTCCGGACAATATAGCCATGGTACATCTTGGAATATACCTTCTGGTCAGACTCTTAATAGAACCCCAGTGGGGTCTTCTTTGACAACATCACAGCCAAGTCCTGTTGCCCAAATGCCTTCTTTGTTGCAGAACTCAACTGCTATATCAACTTCTGATGGTAGTTTTTATTCTGGAAATAATCTCTCAGCTAATTCAAACTGGCAATATGTGCAGAATCCTTTGACTCAACCTAATGTAGGTTCTCAACCGAATCATTTTGCTCACGCGGTAACTTCACCGTTGTTGCCATCAGGGAATACAAATTTGCCCACAAACTATCATTATGTTTCTTCTGCTGGAGGTCCTCCAGTTCAAAACACCTATACAAGGCAAGGTAAGAAAAAGGAAGGAATTCTCAGACTATATCATTATATCCCTTGTAGGGGAAAATCCTAGATATTTTTCATCCCGGGTATTCATGATGTGCTTATGAATGTGAAACCGAGTGTTGTATAAGTGGGCTTGTACTAAAATAATGGGATTCCCTCAGTCTCCTACTCCTTTACAGCTTCTAGGTTTCCACAAATTTGTGTCAGAAGGATTCTCCTTTCATGTCAGAGTTGGAAATCCAGCTTAGCCTCTTTCAAATGCAATGATGGCTGACGGTGCTGCAGGTTGTAATTCGGTTACAATATTCAAAAGCATCAACCAACATAGCCAAAGATAAAGAACATTATATCTGGAGGGTTGTAGATTCCTCAGTCCTGCAGGCTAAACAAATAAGATTTCCAACCCTAATTAGCAATAATGTTCTATTTCATTAGCAGTAATAAATTTTCTTGCTGTTTAATGTGAGTCATTAGCTGGCAGCTGATTTGCTGTTTAGTGAATTTTCAGCTCTCTGGTAGTTCTGGGGGCTAAGAGGTTTATAGTAGAACTGTGTGGCATGGTACAATATAATATATAGATGGGCTGTATATAGTGAAGTTGAGGCTACTTCAGTATTTTGGTGGGCAGCCTGAAAAAATTGCCTTAACAAATCCCAATTTTACCTTCCTTAAACAGGAGCTATTTGGATGCCAGTTAATCACAGATTATTAATATATAATCAAACCTGACAATATGAACTTACAAGTATTGATTCTATCTTGCCACAGATAAGTAGCACAGGTGTGGTGCTAAGAAAAAGGGTAGATGGGGAGAACATTCTATCCCTGCTATAGAATGGATATTCTGCCCTGTGTTGCTGAACCTCAGTGCTTGTTGAATGTTTTCTACTTCTATTCTCTGTCTAAAAAATGATACGATACACCTGTATAGAACATATATTTGTATAGAACAACTGTATGTGAGTCACTATATTGTAGTATTTAAGGGAATTGGAAACCTAATAATCCATCTCTAGTTGTATGATTCTGTAGTAATATGTTTGGTCTTCGTCAGCAACTTCTCATGGGGTAATTGCATTAAATAAGAGCTATGATTTTGCTTATGTATAACATTAAACTTCAATTACTTTGCTATATACCGTATATTTTTTTTCAAATATGCAGTAATGGTTTGGTTTATACCTAGCACTAAACTAAGGCAAGAGTGGGCAGCTGTGGCCCCTTTATGTTCTGTGGACTTCAACAGAGTGGCTGGCTCAGGAATTCTGGGAGTTGAAGTTCATAGGTCGTAAAGAGGCCATAGTGCCCACCCCTGCTGTAAGGGATAGTTCACATATTGTGCTAAGAAATGAACAGATTCTGTACCAAAATAAATTCGTTGAGAAACTGTGTTAGATTTAAGTTCTTCTGGTTCTTGTCATCACAGTTCCACTCCTGCTAATCTGTTAATTTATTTGCCAGTTCCACCTCCTTTAGGACCGTCTGCAGTTGGAAGTCCAGTTTATACACATCCCTCTGCTCCCCCATTAGCTCCTCCCCCAGTAAGCACTGCATCCCAGGCTCTACAAAACTCAGCAAGTATGCAAGAAGGTAAGCATTAATGCAGTTATTAGAGGAAGTTGCTTTCAGCCAATTAGAAGCAAAAACATGAATTATGTAGGCTGAATTATAGTATTAAATTTTTGTGAACCAAGCTTTTTTAACTTCATAAGCAAGGACTGGGTCCATGTATTCTGCTGAACCATGATTTATTTTAACCATGGTATATTGAATAGGCCATGATGACCCCATTTACATACAATGCTATGCCATAAATCATGATTTATGATTTACGTTATGATAAATCATGATTTATGATCTACGTTATGATATCAGCTGTGATCAGTGTTATGTATTTCTAACAGATTATTTTCTTCATAGGTGATACTACATGCTCTGCTAATGATGGACTATCAGTCCAGAATAATTACGATGCAATAGAAGGAGGTGGTTTCCTGGGTAAGATAGTCTTTCTTCCATTTCCATTGCTCAAAAGTAAATTAAATGGGGAATTAATTGTTTTTATTGTGCCTGCCCTGTACCGGTTCAAAACAGTCACATAACACAAATACGAACTATTTTGGTATAGAGAAAATGTACATTCTGGAATTGAAAATTGAACATACATTTATAAATTATGTATAACTCAGTGTCTTAAAAGTCATATGGACACCTGCAGTAGTTTAACAGTTAGCAATATTCTAATACTTAACTCAGCAGCACTATAAAATCTGTTTTTAATCAAGATAGGAACAGGATGTAATCAATTTGTTTAAAATGAAACCTCAAGACAAAGTTGTAATTATAATTGGTTAACAATGAAATTGTTAGGTTAGTATCAACAAAGTAAAACAATTTTGACATTTATCTATTAGGAATATTGGAGCTAAAACATTTTTCTTTGTAGTGGACTATTAATCAAAAATGTCTGTTTACTGTTAAATTAAAGATGTTGCTCCTGCAAGACTTATCCTTAGTTGTGTTTTTATAACAAGCACTTGGATTGTACCATAAAATGAAATGTCTTGCACAATGATTAGGTCAAAAAGCACTTGATTTAACTTTTGTCATGCAGGTTATATCTTAATCAAATCCAACATATGTTCTGTATCTATAGAAATTATACTTTACAATAATTTTTAGGTATGTGTAATGCTTGATATATTAGATTTAAATCATTAATAGAGGCAGCTTGTTTAAATTGTGATTTACTGATTACTCATTGTCAGAAGGTTGCAAAAGGTAATCACATGACCCTGAGACACTGCAGCTGTCATAAATATGAGTCAGTTGCCAAGCAACTGAATTTTGATCACATGACCATGGGGATGCTGCAGTGGTTGCAATTATGAAAAACAGTCATAAGTCATTTTTTTCAGTGATGTTGTAGCTTCGAACAGTCACTAAATGAACTGTTACAAGTCGAGGACTACCTGTATGAAGCAGAATAATGAAGACCGGATTTTTCAGGATAATTTTACTTAAGAACGAAAATGCTCTTAGAACCAAACAAGCAGATAAAATACTTGTGATATTTGGAACCAGACCAGCTCCACTTCATTTAACTGTGCATTTTTGGAAGGTGTTCTTGACTTCTAAAATTTACAAATATTTTTCTATCTATCTTTCTTCAATTTATGCTAAAAATGAATTCGTTTGAGAAACAAACTCAAGTTTCTACCTCAGTGATCTCTGAAGTAAAATACAATGCTTACGTGTTTTTCACCATCACTGTTCTAGATGCCTTAAAAATATCAGCAAACATATTTATTGAATGGATTACCTTTGGTTTAATGGATGTTGGAGAGGAGGGTGTAATATTAAATCTGAATGTTCATTCAACTTAAAATGTTGCCCTTCTGAACACAACTAAACAAAAGTAACCCCACCTTAAACACATACAGAACATAAAGTTTTTAATAGTTCATTTTGCATTCAGTACATTTCACAATTACATATGTTTGAGTCTACATCAAACAGACAGCAGTACAGGACCAAACTACAGCATTTTACTATACAGTACGTTCAGTCAGGGATTCAAATATGTGAACAACCGGTTCTCTGTGTGGATGCCACTTCCGGAAATCCGTACTGGGCCTGGGCAACAAAAAAATTAGCTACCGGTTCTGCCAATCTGTTGCAAAATGGCTAAATCTCATCACTGCATTCAGTGCCTATCAAAATCAGTTTTGCCTTAATTACAGAATAAGAGAAACGGGCAGTTAACATTTAATACAGAAGAAAGCTACTTAACGATTGGTTTGGAAAAAAAAACATTTTTAATTTTAATTGGATCTTAGAAGCATGCTATTTCTGAATTATCTCCCAAAAAGCAGTTTCATGATCAGATAAGGGGTCATTGAAAGACATCACAGGTAGTCCTCAACTTACAACCAGAACAGAACCCAACATTTATGTTACCAAGTGAGACATTTATTGAGTTTTGCCCCATTTTATGACCTTTCTTGCCACAGTTATTAAGTGAATCACTGCAGTTAAGATAGTAACATGGCTGTTAAGTGAATCTGGCTTCCCCATTGACTTTGCTTGTCAAAAGATTGCAAAAGGTGACCTCATGACCCTGGGACACTGCAACCGTCATAACTGTGAGACAGTTGCCAAGCATCTGAATTTTGATCACATGACTGTGGGAATGCAGCAACCGTCGTAAGTGTGAAAACTGGTCATAAGTCATTTTTTTCAGTGCTGTTGTAACTTCAAACGGTCACTAAACGAATGGTTGTAAGTCTAGGACTATCTGTATGTTGTTGAACAACATCAACAACTTATATTGTGGAGATTCACAGATCTTCCTCCTTGTCTTAATTACCATCATGCTGTCTTGTCACAAAGTTTTTGCTGTTATCTGACTGTCACTATCTGATTGTCTTATCCTGTGGTCATTGCACAGGATAGTTATTGTTCTTTATAATTTCCAATTTGCCACAATTTTAAATAGTTTAATAGAAATCACCAACTTGCAACTCTCAAACTGCTAGTCCGCTTCAGAGTGATGAAACTGCTTGTTCGTTTATTTATTAAATGTATTGGCTGCCCATCTTACTATAGGATAACTCTGGGTAGCTTTGGCCATATTTTTGCCAACATTTGTTTTGTTTTCTGTTTTTAAGTTGTATAAATTTGAAGATTGATGATAGGAATTTTTCAGTCCTCTTGTGCCTTTCTTTATCTAATTCATCCACTACCATAACTCTCACTTCCTTAAAAACTCTCTGTTCGGTCTTTGGTTGGAAGAATGTTTCAGGGCAATAAAATATACATCTTTTGTGCTTGATATTTTTTGTGATGAATAGCTGGATTCATTGTCAACAGTTAGGAAATCTTTAGCATGCTCAGGTGATGCTTTCGGCACCTGATTCAGTTACGCTCAAGCTCTGAGCATTGAGAACTAATCTGGAAAAAGTGAAAGTAAGTCATGCCCTCTGTGCATTACAATGGTTCTTCCAATAATCTTGGACAACATGACATGCCTTTCAATCAACTTGTGCGATCCACTTGTGTTTATACAAAGTAGTGGCAAACTGTCTCCGTGCTGACCTTTTGTAACAAGACATTTATCCATGTTTGAATGTCTGTTATTTGGAACAAAGATTTATTGCAAACCAGTCTTGTTTATTGTAGATTTGAGATTGTATAAAACATTCATACTGCATAGTTTTCTATACCACAAAAGGTTCAAAGTTCCAAGGTGTTGCTGAAATGCCATTGTTGGCATGAAAATTTGGTTTTGCAGTTGTGTTAGCTGCTGTTTTTATTTCCTTTCCATTTTCTGACCCCTGGTTCAAATGTTTAGCTTGCATCACACTACAGGACATAGTTCAGCTTTCTTTTTGCTTTGTGAATATCGGATCCAGTTTGCTGCGCTCTTCCTAAACATAGGCAGTAGTCACCCCAAGTCCAAGTTACTTAAGAAATCTGTTTTTAATGTGTGGTTAAAGTTTATTTTGTCTATTTCTAACCACCAATATTTATTTTTTTTTGCCTATTGGTGAACTGAATGCTTGAGCACTGTGATTCAACTTAGATTTTTTTTGAAACTTTGAAAACATGTTACCAGCATTCCTAGATCAAATACAATGCCAACACTTGCTAGAATATTGTACAAAAGAAAGCTAATGCATGCGCAAAAGAAATGATGCTAGCAAATTTGCAGCTTTGAGTACTGGCTGGATTACTTCAAAAACATTGAACTTGGGCCATAAGATACAGATGAAATCCTAACAGAAAAAAAAGTGTCTTGTATCTGAAATCCCAAGCTAAGGATCAGCCTAGCTGTTATTGAGAATATTGCCAAGAGAAATAACTGGAAATAATAGTGTTTGGCCCTGATAGTTCCATCTATTTCTTCATGATACTGTCACCAAATTTCCATTAGCAGTTTTTGATGTGGTTCTCCAGATAGTGTAATAATGTGTTTTATTGGACATCATGATCATGTGATTGCAGCTTGGGTTGCTGGGCAGCTGGCTCGCAATTACAACACCACAGTGGCCCATGGTCATATGATCACTATTTGCAGTCTTCGCTGTCGGCTTCTGACAAGCAAAGTCAATGGAAAGTTAATAGGAGATCGCAAATGGTGAAGTGACCTTGGGAATGCTGCAGCCACATAGCTGTGGCATTTGGGACTACCGGAACTCCTGTCATAAGACAGTGCAATCATGCGATGTTGTGTCTTACTTAGCATTGGAGTTCCCAGTCCCAATTACTGCTGGTAATGACTACTTATATGTTATTCAAGTATCTGTTCTTAATCATATGAAAAGAAAAGTTAATTGAATACAATCTTTTTTTTTTTCAACAATTGCTTCTTGCTGTAATCTGGTTTTTATTACAATGATCTACTGTATTCCTGTTTCTGTATGATAGAATTTCTTTTTAAAGTTATGAAAACTATACCAAGTCTTCACTGGAACACTACTTTTAGCTAACTCTGATATGATAGTCACCAGTGATGGTTCTGAAAATAGCTCAGGTACACTGTCATCAAACTATTGTATTTGAGAACAGATAAGCTAAACAAACAAGACCATCCTGTACTGTTTCTATACCACAGTTGGTTTAATATTGATGAGTGCATGTTCTGACAGAAGTAAACAATATAAGGAACATATAGCTCTTTTGTTTAACTACATTAAACAACTATAATGTTCCTCAGACATGAAACATTTTGAAATTTCAGCTGCAATTGCTAATTGTTTTGCTTTGTTTTGGATTTTTCTTTTTAATATTTTTTTTTATTGAAAGAGAGCAGTATAAGCCATTCAGAGTTCTTTTGGATTGGTGCCAAATATCAGACCTATAAATAAATATTACAGTATAATAACTAGGTTTTTGTTCAAACATGAGGATTCCATTCGTAACTTACACCCATTCAAAAGCTGTGACTAGAAAAGGCACGATCTTTAATGAAAACAAAAAACAGAATACTGTATGGTGACATAAGTGTATTTATTAGTGTGAAGACTGAGCATGCTTAGGATTTCCAAAGCTGAAACAGATCTTAAACTGAAGCTTTATCCAGACAGCCAATTGACTGTTACGATTTAAGTTATTAGGGGAGATATTATTGCCAATGGTGGGAGAGGGGAACTAAAATTAGAAGTTATGTTTGTGGTTTTAGTTTGAGTGATATTACTTTTTTTTTTAAAGTATTTCAGTTTTAAAATTATTTTTTAAAACACACAGCTTTTTATTTATTTGTCTATATAACTATATAACTAAATACTGTACGTCACTACAAATGGTAAAAAACCTTAAGTTTAGAATATTAAGATCATTTACCATTCAGTTTATTTATTCTTTCAGCAACTCCACATGCTCCTGCTCCTCAAAATATTAAAGTGAACAAACATGTTGGGACTGCTTATCCCAGCTTGCCCCCAGGCTACCAAAATGCTTCTCCACCTGGAGGACCAAGAATGCAGTATCCAGGAGGACCTCAACAATTCCCTCAGGTAAATCCTTTCTAATTTTACTCACACGTTGTTTCTAGGTTCCACAAAGGCTTCCTTGACCTTATAGAAGTTATTCTTCCCCAATTAAAGAGCTCAAATTTTAGAGCTGATATTGATAAAATGCCTCTTCAGGTGGTAGATCCAAATTTAAAAAAAATAGAAATCAGCTGTAAATCTTGTTTTCCGTGCTACATTGAAACATAGAAGTTCCTGCTTGGTAAATTTGCATTTCTTAGACAAGAAAGACAGTAGACAAGACATCAGATGGGTACATAGACTTGTATCCAGAAAGTCTTTTTAATAGTAGAATGGGTAGCACTGGCGGTCAGCCATCCTTTTCCTGATGGCCAGTATGTCTCCCATTTATCTTATATAGATAGAGAGTAGAGGGAAAAGATATTTAAATTGTATAAGTGGAAGTCTGCTTTTGAAACATATAAGTGAACAAAATGTTAAACAGTTTAAATTAATGGTTCCTGAGGAATAATTTAGAGGTGAAAAATGGGCTAGAGTTTTTATTAAGTGATTATGCCATAGATTCAGGTTGTTATATATGAAAACATGATTGGCTTTATGCTGACTTCATTTAATCCCACCCTGACCAGCCTAATGGTAAGATTTCTGAATATATAGGCATTTTGTCCAATAAAAGAGCACACTAATAATTAGTATGGAAGGAAAGTCTCTGGAGATTCTCAGTTTCCTCCAAGAAGAAATTTAAACAGGTACTTCTCAACATATAACAGTTCATTTAGTGACTGTTTGAAGTTACAGTAGTAATGCAAAACGTAACTTATGACCATTTTTCACATTTATGACTGTTGCAGCATCCCCAGGGTCACATGATCAAAATTCATGTGCTTGACAACTGACTCATATTTATAACAGTTGCAGTGTCCCAAAGTCCTCTTGATTTTGCAATGTTCTGACCAGCAAAGTCAATGGGGAAGCCAGATTCACTTAAGAATGATGTTGCTAACTTAACAGCTGTAGTGATTCACTTAATAATTGTTGCAAGAAAGGCTGTCAAATGGGGCAAAATTCACTTAACAACAGTCTTGCTTAGCAACAGAAATTTTGGGCTCAATTGTGGTTGTAAGTCACGGACTACCTATACCCGGGGTAGGCAACCTTGGCTCTTTTATGACTCTTGGACTTCAACTCCCAGAATTCCTGAGCCAGCATGGGAGTTGAAGTCCACGAGTCATAAAAAAGCCAAGGTTGCCCTGACCTGCACCATAATGTGCATTTTCATCAAGACCAAACATATTGATTAAAAATCACACGCCACACCTATAGGTCAGTCTTGATTGATTTGCAAGATATTAAGAATCTACAGGCTAAATGCTACCCAAAGAAACAGGACCAGGCATTTGAGGTGATCCTTGCTCTGGATGGAGTTGTATTCCTCTAGAAGGAGCACATATGATATGCTTGATATCGCATATAATGTTATGGAAGTTGCGTATAAAGTTATGGAAATGCAGATTCAAATTTAATATTTCAAAAAATAATCCTAACAGTAAGAATAGTTTGACTGTGGAACCAATTACCCAGAATTGGTGGACTCCTCTTCATTAGATGTGCTCAAGTAGAGGCTAGACCGTCATCAGAGATATTCTGATTTGGATTCCTATCTATAAGAAGGGATTGGAGTTGTTTGCCCACATGATATTTCTTACAATCCATGATTCTGTGACTAATCAGATACTAGTTATAGCTAGATTAGAACTGGCTGGTTTACAAAAAGAGAGAGTGTGTTTTATAGTTTTATATGAAAAGAACTGGTTTTTTATTTCCCTATGTTGTATTAAAAGTTTCTCTGATGTATTTCTGTCCTTTCTTTTTAAAAAAAAAAAAATCCTAGGAAGAAATGTGTTAAAACCAACTAAGTTGATGAGTAAGACTAGCTCAGCGGCATTAAATAACTATTGCTAAATATTTTCTGCTGTTGTAGACATAGTGTAAGGGGAGATATGCCTCCAATTTGAGTTAAGCGTTATATTTTCCCACTCAAGTCAGCTCCACCGTCTCATTCAAGTTTGTGCTTTACAGATACATTTATAATTGACTAGATTCTCTTCTTAATGTGATTATACAGATTTCAAAAATATCCCTCTTGCAATACTCTCCTTAGTTATTAATAATTCATTATGAAATCAAAAAATGCACTTCATCTAAACATTGGCCTTCATTATTTCCTTCAATCTCTTTAATAATCAGTGTTGTCTATGTAATAGGATTGCGTAGTTCAATACACTTTATTTTTTAATTTAGTGCTAGTGTAGTGCAGTATTTAGGATGTTGGAGGTCGACTGGAATGATCAATGGATAATTCTAGATCGGTATATAATTTTTGAACTCCACACAGCCTATTTAAGTTACTATTCAAATAAAAAGAGGAAGTTTTCCCATATATGCTCGCGCAAGGAAATACGATATAATTGCAAATAACTGATATTAGTGGAATACATTAAAACATAAATACGGACTTTTATATCTAGATTGGTTTTAAGTGTGAATAGAATGGTGAGCTAGTTTATAACAAAATATAGGTAATCCTCAATGTACAACCACAATTGAGCCCAAAATTTCTGTTGCTAAGCAAGGTAGTTGTTAAGTGAGTTTTGTCCCCTTTTATGACCCTTTTGCTACATTTGTTAAATGAATCACTGCGGTTAAGTGAATCATGCAATCATTAAGTGAATTTGGCTTCCCCTGTTGACTTTGCTTGTTGACAGCCAGCTGGGAAGCTTACAAATTATGACGATGTGATCTGGGGAGATTTCAACAGTCATAAATACATGTCAATTGCCAAGCATCCAAATTTTGATCACATGACTAGTAACAGAGTTGTTAAGTGAATCTGACTTTCCCACTGACTGCTTGTCAGAAGGTTAAAAAAAAGAGGATCCCATGACCCCAGGACACTGCAAGCGTCATAACTATGAGTCAGTTGCCAAACATCCGAATTTTGATCACGTGACCATGGGGATGCTGCAACGGCCGTAAGTGTGAAAAGACACTTTTCAGTGCCATTGTAACTTTGAATAGTCACTAAACAAATGGTTGTTATTGAGGATGACAAATAAACTATCATAAGTGCTTTATGAATTATGTATTTACATCTGATATTAACCCCACCATCCTCCATGGTGTCTATGCATGGATTTAAATGTCTTTCATAAATTTGATTTTTTTTTTTTTTGGTGTAGTCTGGCTTGGGAGTAAATACCTTAGCTGCATCTATGGGTGGACTAAGTCTTCAGCCTGAAGGATTAAGACCTATCAACCTTCTTCAAGAAAGAAATATTCTTCCTGCAACCCCCTTGCAAGCACCCATTCCCCATGTGCATGAAGATATTCAGAAGCTCAACTGCAATCCCGAGTAAGGTTAAATAATGCTGCTTGTAAATGAATAAATCTCTTCCATTTCTAGTATTTTGAAGGTTCTCCTTAGTGTCATTTTGGGTGGGTGTTTTAAAGCGCTACTTTTTTTTAGTATATTTAAACAAAAACAGACTGAGAAAATAATTTTAGTCCATCAAAAAAATGATACTCGTAATAAAAATATAACTCTTAATAAAAAAAAATTATCACTGGCGAATAAAAATCTAATTTGTTTCCGGTGGTTCCAACTAATCCTATGTAAAGAAAAAAACGTAAGCTCACATGGTTCTTCCTATATATAAAACAACTGTACCTGAATACTTTCTGAATAATAATTGTACCTGAGTACCTTCTGTAAGGAGGTTGCAGTTATTAAAATGATAAACTAACAGCTGAATTTAGGATTGAGGCCTATTAAGCTAAAATAAAAATTAGGAAGCTTGCATAATCTCCTTTTTCAAATATGAGAGCAGGGAGAGATCATAAAGAAACAGGTAGTTATCGGTTCTTCTGTTCATTGGTGAACAGAAGAGATAGCAAACTGTATGGACTTTATTTTGCTCTGTTGTGATGGGGTGTGCTAATTACACGTGTAATTTTCAGATAGATAAAGTTTTATATGATGGTTATGATAATTGAGGTTTAAATTTGTATACAGGTAGTCTTCAACTTAGTTGTGACCCATCTAAAAAAAAGGGAGTTACAACCTGGTTCCAAAATTCTGGCAGTTTCTCTCTCCCCCCACCCACCCCAGTCACATGGTTGCCCTTCTGGCACTTGGCAGCACAGCTGCATTTACAGCTGTTTGCGGCATCCTGTGGTCATAGGATTGCATTATATGACAGTTTTGCCAAAAAACAGAAGTTACTTGGGTTTGTTTGATGATTGTGACGTTCATTTTACAACTTCCACATTCACTTAACAACCACCACAAAAAAATCAGGTTAGTTATGTGACTGAGCCAATTTATGACCATCACAACATTTGACAGGAATTGGCAGGTTCCATTACAGCCGTAAGTCAAGAGCTATTGTGTTGTATTATCCCAATACACTGTGATTAAAGTCTAGAATGCAGCAGTATTTTTCAGCAGTGTCGGTATGTTTTGCTGGAATGTCAGTTGCACAAGGCATTGCTTCACAACCGTTTCATAGCCCAAAGAGTTAGAGAAGATAATTTCTGCAATACTGACAAGGAGGCAAAAGCTTTGCGCTTTACCAGGGTACATTAAAATTATGGCCTTGCAACAAGGGAATACTCAATTTACCATCACAAGTTTGGAACTAAATTAATTGCTTGAATCAAAATAAAGCTGTACTTAACTGTACTTTTTCTATATTTGAATATATTGCTAATGCACTTTTACGTTTTGAGTAATGTAAACATATTTAAACATTTGAAGATTAAAATCATTCAGTTTTCAGTTCTGAAAATCATATAAGGAATCTTGTTTTGATGCTTGATAGTAACTGTTCTTTTAAAACAAAAAAACCCCTAAATATTGTATAAACTGTATCCTCCCCCAAATTGCAAAACTTATAAGCACCTTTATCTACAGATATATGGATGGCCCACCCCATGTGACTATGACTGTCAACACAAATATTATAGAAATTATTCATACTTGTATGCTTAATATACACATGGTCTTGTGTGTGAATCTAATTCATCAATTAACCCTTGGATTCATTTTTTATGAACAGAATCTAATCCTTGGTTAGCAATTTATGAAGGCTTCATCAGAGCAAAGCATTGGATTTTTTTTTTCCTCAGTGAGAAAATATTCTGCTCAAAGCAATGGAAACCTGAAGTCAACTTTGCTATTTTCTCCATCTCTTCCTCCTCAGTTCCCAACTTTACCCCTCATATGTTTTTGTTTTTGATTTGGGTTTGTCTCTGAATATTCAAATTTTATATGGGTCAGTATTCTAGCCTCAGAAATATTCTATTAAATTAAAGGCTGTACTATACTGTACTGTAGCTATAAAAAAAATCCAACAGTATACAAAGACCATTTTGGATTCTGGTGGTGAATAAATAGTATAAATAAAATATTGATCCAGAAGTGTGTTTTTCAAAGTGTAGTATTACTTTCTAATGTTTCCTTTGTAATTTGGGCAGGTTATCTACTTACTTTACAAGTTAATATATCACTGTAGCAGGAGAGCAGTTTGGTTTAGCAATTAAAGCACAAGGCTACAGACCAGGGGACTGTGAGTTCTAGTCCTGCCTTAGGCATGAAAGCTGACTTTGGACCAGTCACACACTTAGCCCATGAGGTCAGGCTCAGATGACAAGCCAGTTGGTCAATTCCTATTGCAACCCAATTGGTTGGCATTTGGTTGATTCAGATCCTGCACTTGCAGAAAATGCTAGGAAAGAAAAAAAATACTGTTGTAGCACTTTCCTGCAATCCTACAAACTATTTAAAAATTTGCATTTGTTAGAAGTTTTTTTTCCTAAACGGAGTGCTGCGTAAGATATAGGGTGGTCCCCTTTCTTGAAAATTAAGAGAGAGAAAAGTAATAACTGACTGTGGAGATCAGGTAGATTGACGCATGTAATTAGTACTTTTTTAATCCTTTGGTTTTCCATATAGGTTGTTCCGGTGTACCTTGACTAACATTCCTCAGACTCAGGCCTTACTGAATAAAGCCAAACTTCCCCTGGGGCTTCTGCTTCACCCTTTCAAAGATTTATCGGTATGTTATTTAATGTTTGAAAATACTAGGGTGTTGATTTTCAGAAATACACAGCTTGTATTCAGATTACTCTAATCAATATTTTTCATAATATAAGAAATATGGAGCTCAACACCCAAAATTCCACAGCTGCACCCAATTCCCATAATTCTGGGAGTTGAAGTTCACATGTCTTAAAGTTGCCAAGTTTGAAAAACACTTCTCTAGATGATAGTAGAGTTCTGCATGCATATATTACCCACAGTTCTCTCAGAGATTAATTCCATGAATTTGCTTTGATTTATGTAGTCTGTTGTGATGGCCGCATTTGGTCAACTCTGGCTGCAGGATTTTCGACGAATAAATTCCAAAATCTAGGATTGTCTTTGGGTGATTCTCCTAAATTTTAGGAATTTTAGTTTATTGATCTGGGTATATTACAAGTTATTTAAAGAAATTAAGTCCTTTAAACAAGAGGAAGAATTGAAAATTAGAAAAAATTCAGATGAGATGACTTTACCAGAAGTGGAATTTTGTGTGTAAGTTGCCTTTTAAAAGTCCCATCAGAGCAGCATGCGGTACTTCAAATACCTTTTATCTATCTATCTATATATATGAATGTGCAGTGCTTTAATAGTGATGAAACTTTATACTGACTGAACTAAAGATTGATTGATTGACAGTATTAAAGCTTTCAGTTTTTTATATTTAACTTTTCATGCATTTCAATAGATAATATTTAATCAAAGTTGGGAGTACCTTTCATAACTTTTCTTCCCTGATTTTAATCTGCTGTGATGGTTGTGTTTGCAAATAATAAAGAGTTACTAGGCTAGGGAATAACCTTGTGGGAAATGGGACATCAGTTGTTACAGATGAAACAGTCTATCTTGTCTCCTAATATATTTCTTTTTTACATAACTGTGTGTTTGAATGTAACATACAACATTTTATATAGGTTGTCCTCATCTTTTGGATAAGCATATATTGTTAAACGTGTTGCACTTAACACACATCAAGTGTCCAAGTCCCATTAGCATTTATTGGTAATATATTATAAGATGTTTTATAAACATTCAGTTTTCCCTTCCTGCTTTCAAAATAAGAGAAGATTGCCTTCATCATTAGATGAATATAGTCTGCAACTATGAAAACTGCAAAGCCATGTCTCCCACTGGTGCATGATTTTAAAGCCATCCCTTAATTTAGAAGCTCATAGAAAAAAAATACTAGATTGGAATCAGAATTACTATTGCAAGCATACATGTGAAGGCTGATTTTATTTTCATTATTATATTTATTCAGTCCTATGTCAAAAGAAAGAATTAAATTATACTTGATGACAGATGTTCTTAAACAAATGACTTACACATTCCTCTTTTCAGCAATTGCCTGTAGTAACTTCTAGTACAATTGTGAGATGTCGCAGCTGTAGAACGTATATCAATCCTTTTGTCAGCTTCCTTGATCAAAGGAGATGGAAATGCAACTTGTGCCACAGAGTGAATGATGGTGAGTTTTTTTGAGTTTAAATCTAATAAAGAAAGTTGACTTCATATTAAGTTCTTAACTGTGCACATGTATACATACACATAAGCTATTTGATTCCAGTAAGATACATTTATGAGATTAATCTCTAGCTGCTTTTAGATAGTTGAACGTATTATGGGAATAAATATTTCTTTAAAAGATTACTAGGCTGAAAAATATTATATAAAATACTATAAACCTTAGAGTTACGCTAGTTTATAAAGTGTAATTTTCCTCCTATAGTTCCTGAAGAGTTTATGTATAATCCTGTGACAAGAGTTTATGGAGAACCTCATAAAAGACCTGAAGTTCAAAATGCCACTATTGAGTTTATGGCTCCTTCTGAATACATGGTGAGATTCCCCTCCCCACCTTTCTTTCTCTCCTCTCTCCTCCCCTCCCTCCCCAATCTTATACACTGTGTAGTCATAATAAACACAACTTGTGCAGAACTACTGTATCTGATCATCTTTCTTCTTTTATTTGACTTTTACTTATCCATTCTTGTGTAGCTGTTACAGAAATAATAGACAGTAGTACTTCAGTTGAGACAAAGTGATTGGATATAATTTGTACCATACATCTTAGAGAACCTCGTCACATCTTGGAGCTTTCAAGTAGTTGGTTGGATTCTCAAGCTCTTTATGAGCAGCTTCCTTCTGTATTAAAAACTGCTCTTAACTTTTCAAACTTCCAAAAGCACCCTTGCACATACTATGAAGGATTATTACAAGAAAACAAAAATCAAGCAGTATGCTCTTGCTTATGGAACAAATTGTGCTCTATGGACCTCTGTGTCTTGTTCCATGAGTTTTGTTATCTCGTTTTCACTTGTTGATGCTTATGTAGTTCTTATTGATCTTACATTGCACCAGAGAAAAAAGTGATCTTTCAATGAGGAACCATCTTTCAGTCAGACTACGGGTTCATATAGTTTTTGTGACAAAAATGTGGGAGTAATTTGTCATTGCCTTCTTTCAGACTATAAGGGGCTGCATAGAGAGCATTAAGCTCTCACTCCACCAATTTCTGTGTGTAAGGAGGACCAAAACTTAGAGGTCTCTGCTTCAAATCCAGCACCTCAACCTCTATCCACACTGTCCAATATTTGAAAAAAATATTGGCACTAATGTATTGCATCTTTACAATAAATATATATTTTTATGTCATAGTGGTCCTCAGTCCTCTAAATCTCTGAATCCAATATACTACCATGTGCTATCTTTTGAAAAAAATGTGGGGTATACCATGATTTTTCTTCCATTTTGTAACAAGTTACAAAGCAGAATTCAGTAAAGCTGCTACAATGAAAACTTCTCATTTTCACAATAGAGAATTAATAAAAATGGATTATAATATGTAAAAGTGCATTATATTTATGGTATTAAAAATGCAGACCACCTTGCACCCAAGTAAAAAAAGTCAGTGGTCCTAGAGGGACATTTAAATGTTTATAATTGTGTCTTGTTTTTTCAGCTACGTCCACCTCAGCCTCCTGTGTACCTCTTTGTATTTGACGTGTCACATAATGCAATAGAAACAGGATACTTAGATACTGTCTGCAAGACTTTGTTGGACAATCTAGATCTGTGAGTCCTTTGCATCTTTTCAAGCTATCAATGTAACTTTTAAAATTAATATCTGTCAGCACACACAAACACACAAAAGGGTGATTTTGTTCTGTTTACTAAATGAGAGTTGCAAACAGATGCACTTGCAGTATAATGCCCCCCCCCC